TTTCTTTCTTTCTTTCTTTCTTTCTTTCTTTCTTTCTTTCTTTCTTTCAACAAGATTCCCATGAATTTTATTAGCATAATTAAATAGAGAAAAGCAGTCATATTAGTGTCCTCCACCCCTCCATCTTTCAATCCTCCAAAATAAATCAGTTGGAACCTTGGTGCAATTAAATACAGAACTTGTAAAGTAAATTGTTTCTCATTTCTATCAGGTCTTTATTAAACTGCAGATCATCTGTGTAATACATTCAACCTAATATAAACATGTTTGCAGATGATGTGATTACCTAATAGAGCAGCTTTACGCTCTTCTGGCTCTCTCAGTTTAATAAGCAGGATGTGAGACAGATTAAAGCAGAAGTGTGCTTGGCTCAAACGGTTTGTAAATGCTCAGAGAACAAAATGCTCCACACTAACACACATTATTATGTAGCTTTGAGGTGGTGATTGAGGAATGCTTCTGATAGCATTAGTCAGGAGTCTTAAGCCTATTATGCCGCTACAATGTTAAATAGAAACTTCATATACAAATATAGAGGAAGATGTTCACATAGAATCTTGCTGTAAATTATTGCTTTAATTTGTACTGTACATGTTTCAGTAATTTTTACAGTATAGTGCTACTGTTATGAGTGCAAATCTGAACATATTTGCTCAGTTCTGCAGTTAATCATTTATTCTTATATTAATTTTAAGTAATGTATTCTATGATTAGTGTTGGTTACATTTGGTTTACATCGATTAGTGTGGTTACACAAATCAACTGATTAGTGTTGGTTACATTGGTTACATTTCTGTGATAGGAAAACAGAAGCTTTATAGGCTATGAACGCTACATCAAAATTTTGATACAATGCGGTGCAATTTGCAACTATTAAATGTCAAGTAAATTAGCATTCTGTTTTGAGTTTAGTGCAATAATAAAAGTTACACAAAATGTCTATCAGTCTTATTTTTTTTTAAAGATTTACAGCTTTAAATCAATAGGCTGTCTATTAAAAATAAATAAATAATATACGATCAGAGAAATAAATAAACCAACAAAATATTGATTGCCAACCTCATTATGTCAAACTAAATATTGTATGAAACAATGAATGTTGAAATAACTTTAGTTAATAAATAAATAAAGAGTGAAATTAATTTAATTAATTAAGTTTTTACTACAGTGAATGTGAATCTCAATCCTGCAGACTATATGCATTATTTAAATTGTTGGATGCAGCCAAAACCTCTGAGATGGAAAAGGGCATGTAGACTTTTGACGTGTTTAAAGCTCGCTACTTTTCATGCCAGTTTAATTTTATGTTAGATCTTAATTTATCTAACATATGTGCTAGTTCTCACAATAAAATGGAATTTGTGGACAGTACCATATGTACAGCTTTATTCAGTATTTTTGTAATATACCCATATATGCCATATAACTTTTATATTTAGCATTCATGGGTTCTGCTATTTTAGCTGATGTCTATCTTAAAATAATTCTGGAAATATCTATTCAGTCAAAATCCAATCAAAATAATGCATCACACTGCTGCTGTCACAGTGCCAGTGTTATTTTAGCATCATTGATATACCGTACTATTGTACTGTTTGTAAATATTTTTAATATTTTATTTGTATATTATTTGTTTTTCATCTTCATCTTATTTTTTTAAGTAATTGAAAATTAAATGAAATGTGTTGTGTTTTGACATTTTTATTAGTTTTTTTTTATGTGTTTAGTTTTTTTTTGTTTTTAGTTTTAGTTTATTTGGTTTTTAATTTTTTTTCACTTATTCTTTTTAGTTTTTAGTTTAATTTTGTTAACTTTAGTTAAAAGTAAAATGATAAATGAAATTTAAAAAGTGTTTTTGTTAACACTTGACAATAAGATTCTATTTGTTAGTTAATGTGAACTAACAATGAAAAAAACTTCTAAAGCAGTTATTTATCTTAGTTCACCTTAATTTAAACACTTGCTAATAGATTTTCAAAATTAGCATCTGTTCATATTATTTAATGGACCTGAGCTAGCAATAAACTAACTATGAACATTTTGTACTTTTATTAACTAACATTAAAAAGATTAATAAATACTGTAACAAATATACAGTATTGCTCATTGTTAGTTAATGTAAGTTAATGCATTAACAATCGTTAACTAATGGGCCCTTATTGTAAAGTATTTCCATGTTTTACACATATATATATATATATATATATATATATATATATATATATAGAGTGTTTTTTTTTTTTTTT